CCCCCCCCCCCCCCCCCCCCCCCCCCCCCCCCCCCCCCCCCCCCCCCCCCCCCCCCCCCCCCCCCCCCCCCCCCCCCCCCCCCCCCCCCCCCCCCCCCCCCCCCCCCCCCCCCCCCCCCCCCCCCCCCCCCCTCCCCCCACCCTACGCGGCCAACTTTTGCGTTTTTGCTATGATTCCCATCTCTTAAAATCGTCTCTAGAATAGCTCCGCAGCTCTCAGGCCAATTCTGCGCCTACAACCCTCCACACGTCTATACTCCCATCCTCTTCCTCGTGTGGTCCCGTGCCCAGCCTAACGCTTGATCCTGTCCTATATGTACGTATTCTACATTACTTTGATGAACGTGGGAAAATCGTCTCAAAATCCTTCTAGGAACTCTATTTCTCTCGCCGGGCTTTCTTTTACTTAACACATTTACCATACTTACTCTACTTTAAAAGGCCATCACTGGCATTCTTCTCAATGAGGACCGGCTCTTTCATATAGCCCGATTTTCGGCAACTTCCCCTAATGAGGCCGTTCTCCGTGATATTTAATCCCCTTTCGGACCTGAATTTTTCCCCGTGGAGAAATTTTTCTTCTAGCTATTGTTTATTACTTGTGAGCATATAGGTATCATTATGGCGAAATTTGGAAGCTATTCGATCACAAACAAAGAAACTAAGAAGCTTTGAAAATTGGCCCACCTTCTTAGTTTTTAAGCTTATGTCGAAACAATTCGAAGTTTCATAGTTATGCCGAAAAAGTTTATAATCTTGCATAACATTATAACCCATAATTTTGATTTAGGAATGGATCCACTTCAAGTATTTTAAGAAAAAGTCACACTTACTTGGCCGGTTGCGGGGGTCAGCGCCCATTCACTGTTGCACTTGTACACAAATACTTGCAATACTAACAGCAATAAACAATGAAATGGCCGGTTAAGCTCATAATTAGGAAGGGGAAGGTTGACTGAAGCAAACTCTAGCAGGATTAGAAAAACTATGCTGTTTCAGCGGAAATGCAAGCGTTTGAATTTGGTGGTGGCAATTGCCACCGCCAGGGCCGAAAGGGTTAATGTTGAGTTGGCTCACCGAGCTGGCGATCGCCCTAGGGGGCTCGTTTTGTTTCGTGGGAGCTGCTCCGCCTTACGTAGACTTCATTTATCACCAATGCAGCGAAGTAAGTGACCAGTCATCGATGTTTCCACTGTGCCATGTGTGGTGGGTCCTCGACTTCCTTCAGCTCTGGGCTACGTACATTGAAATTTAGATGTGAAAACTTGTAGACAGATTTGTAGAAATATAGGGCGGTAAGACCTCGTCGGACAGAAAAGTGAACTTCGGAGTGCATTTTCCCCCACGCGCTTTTGCCAACCATTGTGGGAGAGCTCAGACAGGAAAGCACATGCATTGTGTTTTCTTACGACTAAGCTTTCTAAACATAGGACATGCAGTGACGACGGGTCTGAACCATTGTCTGCACTCGCACACACTGCACTTTATCAGCGCCTAATTACCCACTACCTCCTAATTGGTGAGTCTCGAACTTTATAGACATTTTTGTGGCTCTGATGATTAATTGTGAGCGTGCAACCTACTCCAACTTGTGGCTGCAATTAGAAGAGTCTTAAGAGAAGCCGAGACTTCGAAGTCGCAAACTTGAGCAAGGTGAGCTGAATCAGTTTTTCTTCCGTGATTGATGGGCCATTATAATAAGCTCTATTAGGTGTAACTTTTTATTTGTAGGTCATTTTAAGATGTGTCCATTTTCCTTTTAAATGCACTCCTAAAGGACGATTCACGATATTTGTGACACATTCATTGACTGGAATGCGGGTCGTGGACCCATTTAGAATTCATGCTTTGCGTGAATCATCATGGGACATTTCCGCGGTTTCGTAAACAAGCCCGTGGTTGTAGCGCTGTTGAAATTGTGTTGGAATCCCTCGCTCTTTTTTCATATTCTCCGTAACATTTGTAATTCCCAAGTTTATGGTGGCTGTCAGGTGCTATCCTAGTTGGGAGGGGGAACCACGCGGCGGCGCGGCGCTCTGTTCGTCTGCTCCTCCAAGGCTTAGTCCCAGGGGCAGTTACTATTTCGCCATCACGTGGCAGTTTCGAAATACGCGCCATCGGGGACTAAGCCTTGGAGGAGCAGACGAACAGAGCGCCGCGCCGCCGCGTGGTCTCCCCCAACTACGATAGCACCGGTTGTCATGTGCTTGAGTGTTGTTTTGCAACCCTGCACTTTTGTGCGTGACGTTTTTTCATCCCATCTCTTGTAGTCCAGTTAGCAGTTTTTTGTTCCTGTCGCACGTCTTTTTCTTTTTTTATTCTTTTTATAAGCGCATTGTCTGCGCAGCTGTGTATCACCTTGAGTATCATAAATGGATTAATGAATCATTCTTGAATGGTGACGGTGATTCCATAATTCACTTCCTTACATCGCTGCGGGGAGGGACAAGTTGTTTGTCTATGGGTGTGATGACCTTCTACCCTTATCTTTTTTCGAAAGCTGAGCTTTCGGAGGTTTCGTGCATCATCTTCTCAGTAACATTTTGGCCGGTTAGATATTTAAGTTAACGGTAAGTTTGCGGAGTAGGTCGTTCTATACCTATGGATCACTCAACTATATGGAAGTTTGGTGATATGCAGAGACTTCACGTAGTGACAGGGGTGTGGGTTTTTGATGGCTGTCCCTCTCTTACGTGGAGGATCGCGACCTCTTCCATTACGAACCCGTTTGTTTCGTTGTTGTCCAAACTTCTTCCTTTAGGACACATGCTCAATGGGGGCGATATGGTCATACACGGGTCGATACTCAGTGCTGCCACTTGTCGGTACAGGCAACTTCGGTACGGCCTGTGCGGATCTCATGATCACTGACACAAAGGATGGAGACGCAGGTGTCTTCATGCGTCGTACTAGCCAAGCGACAAGCAATTGTACGGTCTAATCATCGATTACTTTGCTGAAAGCACGATGCGACAGGTAACTTGAGATTTTCCTTGGACAAATTTCTCTTGACTTTTTCTCCTAAAGTTGAGTGCGCGCCCACTAACATTGAGCAGTTTCTGGCAGCGCTAAACATACCTCTACAGGAACGGCAGATTTCAATGGTTATCTGTTTTACTTTGTCTATCATACTCTATTTACTTTGTCTATCTGATATTTACTTTAGCATGGCTATGCAGAAAACCACTTATTATTTCATATTGTTATTTCAAGCAGCGTTCTGTGACACTTCCAACGTTGCGATCATTGTTGTGTAGCGCCGTGTATCCTTTGTCATCAATCTATGCTCTTAGTTATACCTCCGATCACTTTATTACTTGGACTTTCCTCCCGGTTGAGAAAGGTTCATTAGCGGCAAACGCGGTGTGAGTCGTGAGCGCCTACCGCTTTCTACATTACCAAACGAGAGACATGTGAATCAGCGGGGGAAGGGAAGGTAACTTAGAGGGTGACGCGCGAACCCCTTCTTCTGTCGCAAAAATATGAGCGCTCGTGGTCACTGTGGCCATGAACTGTTGTTTAGGCGAGAGAGTAGAGAGAGCGGGCAGGAAAGAGCAACACAATTGACGCTCCACAAAGACTCGATTCCTCTAAGAAGCCCTGTAGACTATTTTCCCCCCGAAGTTATACGAAATTAACTACAGGAAACGTTTTCGGAATGTTGAATGTTACTGAATCCAGTTACAATTCTCCTGTTCATTCACGTCCACGATTCCACGTTTCTGGGATTTGTTACCTTTACAGTCTTTTTGAGAAAGTTTTGGAAGAAATCCGCCTAGATCAAAAACCAGCCAGTTTAAAATGTAAATCTCCTAAAGGATTGGATAGACTTGAGCAGTCGGCTTATCATCCTGTCTTCAGGAAGAATCTCAAGCATCACCAATCTACGAACATCCACTCTGGTTGAGTCGGCCGGAGTACGTGAATGGCCTCGCTACTTACATGAAACAGTCCGCCGGGCGGCTTCAATTTGTCTTCAACTGGATCATTGGTGAAACGAGGTATGTGGATTTTTTTCTATTCTCTCGAACAACTCTGCGAAGGTTCTTCGGAAAGGTATAGTAAACCTTAATAGCTGCCAATTTCCTGTAATGGTTATCGTGTTTCACAACGTCCCGTTCTTCCGGCTCGAAAGTGCCCGACGAGGGTGCTGAGGACCAGGACCACTTCCATTTGTGTTCGTTCGTAGCATGGTAGTGCTTTGCTCCCTCATTCTTTGTGCAGTTTTGCCTGTTCCCTCCTAAGCCCTTTGTCCCTTATCAGAATAGCACGGTCGATCACAAACCCGAAGAAGAACTTAACTTCAGGTATTTGTTGAATTCTTCTCATTTTTCTCGACTACCGCCCCATTTTACATCACTGCTTTTTTCGTTTGCAAGAACTACATAATTTTGAGTGCCTTTAGTGTCTTTTCCAGGATCGCTCCTCTCTGGCAGCGCAAACTCGCTTTATCCAGCTCGCCAGTGAGTAATTCTAGTCATTCTCAAAAAGGAGCATTCCCGGTCGTAATTTTTTCCCACGGTCTATCGGGATGTCGTCACTTTTATTCTACCTATTGTGCATCACTGGCTTCAAATGGCTTCGTGGTTGCAGCTATCGAACACAGGTGAGTAGATTAACGTCTGTTCCGCATCATTGACCAGGCATGTTTTGTCACTATATTTTTGGAAAAGGCCAGTAGTCAAGATGGTCGGGTTGAAGTGGTGTCGATACGTTAAGAAATCTCAACCTAAATTAAATTAACAGCCAGGTCATTTAACCCAATAATGTTCATTCCCATTATAAAAACCCAATAGACAAAAGAATACTTTGGTATATTGCCATTCGTGGTATTTGTTCATGAGTATTTCAACTGTTCCGTTCGAGGGAACAGTCAGATGGGTATGAAGTTGACCCTATGAGCGATAATGCTACAGTTCTTAGTAAAAGTAACCAGCAGTTGTAGTGGAAGGATTTTGAACTCATAGAAGCTAAATTTTGCAAGAAATTTCAGTGACTATTCTGCTTGTTGGACGTATAAGCTTACTCTCGATTCTATATCTGGAAGGCTAAAGGAACGCCATTTTCCCATACGTATTGTGGATAAGGATGATAAGCGCATGTTTAAGATAAGGAATCAGCAGGTAATATTCCTCCTATAGTCCCATCAATTAAGAGCAAAAGTTCTTATTTCAAGTAGCACTTTTTAGCTGAACAAACGTGTTTCCGAGTGTGTAAAGGCATTACATGTGCTCGAGGAAATTGCCCTTGGACAACTTCAAGTTGACAATATCGCGGTTGGAAAAGACTTCGATTGGTCTATGTTCAAGGTATAATTTTAGATTCTATAGTGCAATTCATAAAGTAAATTAGTTTGAAACTCGCTGTTAGGACAAAATGGATCTCACCCGAGCGTTCATTGCTGGTCATTCATTCGGTGGAGCGACAGCCATTGCTGCGACGGCATTTTCGACAGATTTCCAAGTAACTTACTTATCGCTATTTGCTATAAGTAACTTACTTATCGCTATTTGCTATAATTTTTTTGATGCTATCTCATCATAGGCAGCCGCAGTGTTGGATGGGTGGTTATACCCGCTGGAACCGGGTCACTATGAACGAGCAACTCAACCGACTCTGTTTTTGAATGCTGGAAAATGGCAATTCTTGGAAAACATCGAGCGAATGCACAAATTAAGGAATATTGCAGAGAAACCAATGTATACTTTCAGGTATCTACTTTAGTGAAGTTTCTGACGGCAAATTGCAATGTCTTGCGGGGGGTAGAAAGATTGGGAGTGCAGCTTGCTTCGTTCATTGTTTGCATATCCACCTATCATCTTCCAGCATTTGCTTCAAAACAGTCGTTTTGGTTTATGTTCTTCATGTTTCTGGTTGCAGTTTCTGCAGTTCTGCAATTCTAGTTCACATCAATAGTTCCTTTGGTTCATCACCAATAGGTGCCTGTTATTTACTTAGTCTTCCCTTGAAGAAATCTGTCTTCATTATAGAACCAAATAAGTGGAGAAGTTTCATTTTACGTTAAGGTCAGGCGTTCGTTGAGGAATTCTCGACGAAGAGGGGTGGGGGGGGGGGGGCAGGGTCGTAAGAGGAGTGACCAGCTTGTACGGGAGTGCACAGAAACCGCGACTCTTGCCGGATGTCAAGTGCACGGCGCGTTCCTGAGCGATTTCGACCAGTGCCATGCGCTTCATTCCCGTTCTCTGAAATGGAGATGCGAGTTCGCGAGACATCAAGAGGCCCTCCAAAGGGACAGTTTAACCCATTCGTGACAATGTCAGCCTGAAATGGAATTTGGAAAGTTTTCTTCCATGAAAAGAATCTTCATACCCTCGCTCATCTACGCCAGCCCTGGGCAGAGGAAATCTCCCTCCACTCGAATTTTATTGAAGAAAAATCTCCTGACGCTGCTGCTATTGCGCAATCCTGCGCGGTCGCGAATGGGTTAAAATGACAGAAATAAGTCCACTACCTGAGAACAAATGGTTCCAGCGTCGCTTCATAAGCTAAATATTTGAGTAACTTCGAACCATATGCATTATATTTCTATACGAATTGAAAGCAGAAAACTCGTGAACTCCAACGCCCACTTCACTTTTGTACAGAATCGTCCATGTTTGAAGGAATGGTCTTTGAAGGAGTGGCAATGACAATTAGGACCTGTCAATCGTAGTCGGACAAAAAATCTCATAGGAACATTGTCATAGCTTTTGTCATATTGAGTGTATCAAGTAGTTTTGATAACATTCACATAGAACAAATGATCTAGTTTGCAGTGCTTTTCTGAGTGATGCGTATAAAGTAAGTCAATTCTTCTGGATGTAAAAACTGGCGCATCTCAAAAAAATTTTCTCCTTATTTTTGCAAAATCCAGTTGACCATTTTTGGCAACTGAATGCATCAAGTCATTTCAATAACTTTTAATTAGTGCAAATCTTCGGATTAACAATCTCATACAATCCTTTCTATTCAATTGCATTCGAAGGAAGTCGTGACTTTTTAAAGTGTAACAACTTGCGCTTCTCAGGAATTTCCTTGTTCACCACCCAAAAGGTGTTTCGCACTATTTTCCATAAGTTCAGTACTTTTAAAAGGTGTATTCGGCGAGAAGCTTCCAAATCTTCTTTCAGAATAGAAATTCTTTCCGTTTGAAGAAAGGTGGAAGTGGTGTAGTGGCAAGTGGCGCGCTCACCACGCGAGCGGTCCGGGGATCAAATCCTGGGTCGTGAGTCGCCCGGGCCAACCAAGCCTTCCATCCCTCCGGGGTCGGTTAATTGGTACCAGACTTGTCTGGGAGGATAAAACACTGACTTGTACATCGGCTGGCCCCGCAAGTCATTGTATAGGCCACATCGCATTCAAACGCCACTACGAATGTACAAATGGAAGTAGAATGCGTGCCGCATCCCAAAAAGGGATTGATCAACGGCAAATGCTTTATCCTTTATCCTTTTATTGAAGGAAGTTACGTTCATTTGAATACGTGTTCAATTTTAAACATGCCTCCCTAACGCCTCGCTTGACCCTGAAAATCATCGCGCTTGTCCAGGTTTTCGACCACTAATCAAAGGAGGATGTTACCAAGAACGAGAGATGCACATTGAGTGACAATCGGGCCAGCCGGAATCAATTTGAAAAAAAAAAATCGGTCGCGTCTCATGTTTCCTCTCGCCAGCGCTCCAGTCTACAACAATGTCGGTATCACCCGCGATCGAGGGGTCTCTTTATTGACTTACCTGACACTCTGTTCTATCACCATTCACTCCCTATGTAAACGGTGCGCGATCGCAAACACTGCAGATAACATTTTAGCACTATGAATTTCGTTTTTGCGCCGTTCAGCCCATGACATTGCGAAGCAGAATGAAATTCTATCACCATGGAAGTCCCTAGCTGTGGAGTTTTGTAACAGCAGGTAGTACATTGAATGATGATTAAAGATGAGATCATTTACCTTTCCAGCACCGAGCGTTTGACCAATTGGTGCAAGTCCCAAATAGGGATCATACTCCCCGGTTGCCTTTTTCAATAAAGAGCAGAACCAGGAAAGCAGGGATCTGCGTCACTTGGTCAACGAAAAGTATAGTCATTTCGTTGTTGACGGATGGCCGTCGCATTTAATGAACGGCAAACCCGGGTAGGACGGAGGAAAATGCATTTGCGATGTGGATACTTCGAAATTAGTCGTGTAAATACTATAGTTGAACAGTATGCGGGTTTTCGCATATAATCGCATTATTTTATTTCGCTGCTGGTTTATTGTTACGCGGTTTCGAATAAAAATAGGCCTCTCGTGACTATACTAATCCATTTGCATTCTTGGTTATTGAAATGGTGCCACTTTATTATAAGTTACAAAACAAATGGAGAAGTTATTGCTAAAGAGCTTCCCAGTTATAATAGCTAGGACTTTATCCAGATGAGACTACGGTAAAATACAAAGTCTGGTGTTGTTTTTATTTAACCCTTTGACGACAATGCGGATTTGCACGTAGCTTGCTCGTGGGACCACGCCTCTTTTTGGCGCGCCCAACTCTCGCTCACAATTAGGCAAAATTGTCCCTCAAAGCAGTTTTTCTATAGAATTTTTGACTTTAAGTATACCAGATATAACTGCAGTTCTAGGCTTTCATACTGTATATTGTTTTCAAGAAATTCCAAATTTGGAAGGGGAACTCGGGCTTCAAAGGGAAGGAGGGTAAAACCTCCAGAAGTTTGAGTTGAGTATGTATCGCTGGTTCAAGAGCAATACATTCCAAACCTCTTCCTATATCTGAGGGCTATAGTAAGATGAAGAAGAGAAGAATTCCTGATTAGTAATTAATTTTTAGCTTAAAGGCAAAAGTCGGGCTCAATAAGGGGGTATTATGGCGATTGAAACTGAGTATAGAGATGCGAAGTGGAACGACAGTGGAGAAAAAACTGAGAAAACCGTCGACAAGGCCGTTAACAAAACCCTCTTTCCCACTAGCAGTGAAGGAGGCTGGCTTGGGGAAAGAGGCACGTACAAACAAGTTTTCTGGAGATGTCAGTCGTTCTATCGGTTGATACGGCAATCAACCTAGCTGATTTCACACGTTATGCCAGCCACGCACCACTTCCGGAGGCAGGGTCAACCGTCCGTTCGAACTGTTCGAACGAAGGGGTCGCATTTTGGTCGGAAGGGGGTCGCAATTTCGAGGACTGCCAGCCACAGGCGCGTGCGTGGCGTATCCGAGGGCAAGAATTGTTTGTGCAGACCGCATTAGATTCGATTATTATGCACAGAGAGACAGTTTTAGGCAAATTACGGTGTTTTCCTTGAGGAATAGAGAATAAAGAACAGTTGAATGCATCCCTATGAAAGGTTTGACTTCTCGGGGCTGAAATTAAAGTTCTTCGGGACCTAATTTTCTGAGGACGATTCTTCCAGACAACGGTAAAACACATAAGAAAGCAGAAATCTCGTAGTCTTCAAAAATGTCTTCGCCCCTCCCCAACAAGTTCTTTGAAGGAAGTTATTATTGCTGAAAGCTCAAAAACTCGCATGTGCTGCTCAAAAACCTATGGGAACAAAATGTTCGAACGTGTGATTTTCTCGAAAAATGAATTTGAAAAACGGTTTGGTGCTTGTTAGAAAGAGCAAATCCTGTACTTTCACCCCATGAAAAAAGTGCATCACAGAAATGAAAATGAAGTGAGTTATGCCGCTTAAAGCCCAAAAACTCGCGATTTCAAAAAGTGTTCGGCAAAACCCCCCAAAATGTTCGAACGTGTGATTTTCTCGAAAAATGAACTTTGAAAAACGGTTTGGGCTTGTTAGAAAGAGCAAATCCTGTACTTTCACCCCATGAAAAAAGTGCATCACAGAAATGAAAATGAAGTGAGTTATGGTCGCTGAAAGCCCAAAAACTCGCTTTTGCACGAAAAATGTTCGAACGGGACAATTTTTTGAAAAAGGGGACAATCACTAAACTTTTTATACTGTTTTGTTAGAGAAATATTTGAAGTTTCTGAAACTTTTTACAGCTTTCCAAAATGTCGCATACGAAAGATATTATGGGCCTTCAAAGTTGAAGGTGCGCCTTCTTAGAATTTTGGGTTTTCCACTTCTAACAGAAGTACTTTCCGGAGAGTTAGGCAATCCTTGTAGTTTTCTGAAGCGCACCTCAGGCACAGTCAAAATCTACCTCAACAAGTCAAAAAAGTACGTCCCAAGAAAGTTATTCCCCTCTAAAATTTTTCTTCGCCGCGTCCCGTTCTTCCAGCGCCCGGGTGATACCTGCCGCGCTCCAAGGCTGACGTCGATGCATCAGTTGTTCGAACGATGATGGGCGATATGCTGGTGGTCGTGGGACTAGATGAGCAAGTTGGCTTTTTTGAACGTAATCTGTACTGGTATCTGATAGACCAAGAAAAACCGAATGACTACTGCAAGATAGCTTCGCTTGCTGCGTTTTTTTTTTCGTATTTCGCACTGTAACCAACTGGCCGGAATCTCATTTGATCCTGCGTCTGCATATCGCCACTTACTTCGTGACGTATACCCACGGAGTTGAGCCTTGAGCCTCAGGTGTGCTAATCGCTCACTCAAACCGGCCCATTTTTTACTCTCTCCGACCAGTGATCACCATTTTAAGGTTTTGTGAAGTCACGCAATACATAAGAAGTGTAGCTGACACCCTAACTAAAAAGTAATTGATAGATCCACATAATAGCGAATTTCATGAGAACTCGGGCAACGAGAACTCAGTGGGCTTAATTACTGCGCTTAGATCGCACGTGAAGAATGAGCTCATTACCCATCCAAGGTTTACCGGACTGTCACGGTGCCCGACAGTGAAGGTAAAAGGGATCTGAATGTGAGGAAAAAATGGAGCCGTCAGATGACCATGAAATTCCCTTTCTCTTTCAGCAGTACTGTGGAGCCTTTGATGAAAAGACAACAAATCAAGAATCAGGGCAGGGATCTATTCTATCTAGAGATGGGGTGCGCGGTCCAGTGCTCCAATGTGTTCAAAATCACGGTTAGCATATTCTCCTAATGTAAAGGTTTAGGAATAAAACCTAAGAAGGGGGAACCCCCGAGTTCGTAAGCAATCTTCGCTTTCTCCTGGGGGACTTTCTCCCCCTCCTAGGCTTAGTCTTAGCTGTTTTGTATGATTATGTTTATGCTATAAAGCACAAGAGCATCCAATTATATAAAAACCAGAAGAAAAAAACGTAGGAATGAAGATGATAGCAGCTTATAACATTGAAGGACTCCTTGAGCACTGCCATTAGAGCAGACTGTGCACAGCAGTGGAATAGACCTTAAGACAGAGGTGATTAGTGATGCATAGTTGAAGCAAAAAACGAGAAAAATGGTCTAGGATTCGAGAAGTGGGACCATTTTTTGTTCGTGAATTTGCACGCTCGACGTCTCATCGATGCTGACCTCATCACTCTGCTAAGGCTAATGTCATAGTTTGTGAATCGAGCGATTCGCTAGCGAATCGCTCGATTCGCAAACTATGACATCGGCCTAACACCCGCGTGTGGTTCACTAGGACAGAAAGCGAATTCTCACCGCGAAACTTTATTCGACGCAGGATCTTCATGTCCACCGGTGATCAAGTGGACCCGGGGTTCTTGCCGCAAAAGAATTCCCGCGTGCGAAAAGCGGAAAATTCGCTTTCTGGCCTAGTGAACCACACCTCTAACACCTATCTGCTAGAGCAGCAGACTCCAACGATGAGGGCTTGGCCACTCGATGGGCGGGCTGGAGCGCGGGTATGGCCCTGCTAGCTCCCTGTTCGTATCGTACAGAGATCTAAGTAAGAGAAAAACACTGACCCGAGAGGAGTCTCAGCGAGGAGATTCGTAGGTAGAAGTAGATGAATATGTGACTTCTACTAAACCGTAGATATAGGTGGTGAATTGACTCATTGCACGATAGTAGGTGGTAAGGAAGAGATGATTAGGCCGATGTCATAGTTTGCGAATCGAGCGATTCGCTAGCGAATCGCTCGATTCGCAAACTATGACATTAGGCCTTAGGATCGGAAGATGCGAAAGGCAAGTAAGGACGACTGGGCCGTGGGGATCATGCAGTAGCGAACAGGGTCAATCCTACGTTGTTACTAGTAACAACGGGGGGTCGTACCTGGTT